TGGCGAGTACAAGAACTATTTTTGTTTTGGCAACCGTGAATGCACTGCTGCGGCAAGACGTCGTGACCTGGTGGTAGTGCACTCATTTAGACCTGAAAGTTAGTCTTTACTTTCTTAAAGCTAGTGCTATGGAGGTTTCTGTTAAAAACACATTATCAGTTCACAGTGATCTCCCTATCCTTCCGCCTACAACCTTGTGGTATTCAGTTATTATCAGTTCACAGTGTCTCCCTATCCTTCCGCCTACAACCTTGTGGTATTCAGTTATTATCAGTTCACAGTTCAACCTTGTGGTATTCAGTTATTATCAGTTCACAGAGACTCCTATCCTTCCGCCTACAACCTTGTGGTATTCAGTTATTATCAGTTCACAGAGACTCCTCCTTCCGCCTACAACCTTGTGGTATTCAGTTATTATCAGTTCACAGAGACTCCCTATCCTTCCGCCTACAACCTTGTGGTATTCAGTTATTATCAGTTCACAGTTATTATCAGTCTCCTATCCTTCCGCCTACAACCTTGTGGTATTCAGTTATTATCAGTTCACAGTGTCTCCTATCCTTCCGCCTACAACCTTGTGGTATTCAGTTATTATCAGTTCACAGTGTCTCCCTATCCTTCCGCCTACAACCTTGTGGTATTCAGTTATTATCAGTTCACAGTGTCTCCCTATCCTTCCGCCTACAACCTTGTGGTATTCAGTTATTATCAGTTCACAGTGTCTCCCTTCACCCTTCCGCCTACAACCTTGTGGTATTCAGTTATTATCAGTTCACAGTGTCTCCTCCCTATCCTTCCGCCTACAACCTTGTGGTATTCAGTTATTATCAGTTCACAGTGTCTCCTATCCTTCCGCCTACAACCTTGTGGTATTCAGTTATTATCAGTTCACAGTGTCTCCCTATCCTTCCGCCTACAACCTTGTGGTATTCAGTTATTATCAGTTCACAGTGTCTCCCTATCCTTCCGCCTACAACCTTGTGGTATTCAGTTATTATCAGTTCACAGTGTCTTATTATCAGTTCACAGAGACTCCCTATCCTTCCGCCTACAACCTTGTGGTATTCAGTTATTATCAGTTCACAGTGACTCCCTATCCTTCCGCCTACAACCTTGTGGTATTCAGTTATTATCAGTTCACAGTGTCTCCCTATCCTTCCGCCTACAACCTTGTGGTATTCAGTTATTATCAGTTCACAGTGTCTCCCTATCCTTCCTCCTACAACCTTGTGGTATTCAGTTATTATCAGTTCACAGAGACTCCTACCCTTCCGCCTACAGCCTTGTGGTATTCAGTTATTATCAGTTCACAGTGTCTCCCTACCCTTCCGCCTACAGCCTTGTGGTATTCAGTTATTATCAGTTCACAGTGTCTCCCTACCCTTCCTCCTACAACCTTGTGGTATTCAGTTATTATCAGTTCACAGTGTCTCCCTATCCTTCACAGAGACTCCTACAACCTTGTGTGGTATTCAGTTATTATCAGTTCACAGAGACTCCCTATCCTTCCGCCTACAACCTTGTGGTATTCAGTTATTATCAGTTCACAGTGTCTCCCTATCCTTCCTCCTACAACCTTGTGGTATTCAGTTATTATCAGTTCACAGAGACTCCCTATCCTTCCGCCTACAACCTTGTGGTATTCAGTTATTATCAGTTCACAGAGACTCCCTATCCTTCCGCCTACAACCTTGTTGTATTCAGTTATTATCAGTTCACAGAGACTCCCTATCCTTCCTCCTACAGCCTTGTGGTATTCAGTTATTATCAGTTCACAGTGTCTCCGTATCCTTCCTCCTACAACCTTGTGGTATTCAGTTATTATCAGTTCACAGAGACTCCCTATCCTTCCGCCTACAACCTTGTTGTATTCAGTTATTATCAGTGAACTGCTGATAGCAGCACCGACGTAGCCATCACTGTTCCGTGGGATAGTTGTTTATGTTCTTGCTTTTTTAACTGTCTATCCACACATCCATATACTTTACCCTAACACACATCAGTAAACGCAGATAGAGGGTAATTTTCATCAAAATATAAACATATGCGAGGTACATCAATACAAAATGAATTTCGTTTCAACAACATGTAAACAGAAACGACAAATCCCTTTCACCTCCATAAGACATCTCAGTTAAAAACTGAGTGGATTGTACAATTGTAACTATATCTGGAGTTTATTTTTGCTGGACATTCCACAGAATTACTTCTGCACGACGCGGTCTGTGAACAATGGAGTCTGGGTAGTGGGCAAGTCCACAGTGTCTTTACAGTTCACCAATCCAGTGCACCGGTGAAATGTCCAGACGAAACAATAATGAGTCTTGGTATTCTCAAACAGTTGCTGTAGCGAATTAGTATAATACTGAACATATATATGGTTTTACCTTTCGGGAGATAGTCCACTAAGAGGATTCTTTGGAATCCCAAAAACCAAAGTCGTCATCTTGCCAGTTAATGGAAGAGACTTTCCTCGTTTTACAGATAAGACCTTCGGTTCTACTGCTTTGGCGCTTGTTTAGTCAATGGTTGACCCATCCAAGGTTACAAATCGTTTGGCAAAACCAGCTTGGTCTCATTCCACACAGGACAGATGATGAATCAATGGTCAGAGAACCATGGAACAAGACCTGTGTTAGACCTCGTTCATTTCTAGGAATGTTCTCAGGTCTGTGATTGGGGTGGCATTTGACTATGTGAGGTGAGGATACAAGTCCACCATCCATCTAATCATGCTTTTTACCAAGGTTTTCCTTGGTTGCGGCAGTTGGAAGGTCTTCCTGATCTGTAAGACGTATGATGTTCAGACACTTCTGTATCAACACCGGTCAACTGACAGACGTGGATATCCTTCACATTGACAAGGCCTCCCTGATCTGTAAGACGTATGATGTTCAGACACTTCTGTATCAACACCCGGTCAACTGACAGACGTGGATATCCTTCACATTGACAATTACTATTTATATCTATAGAGCCTATAGAATATTTGCTTGAAAGTGTGAAAGGATAGTTGGTACTACCAGTTGAAACCTCTGTGATACAATAGGTCGACTTTCATGCCAGAAGTGACAGAAGCATGCATGTGTGTTTGTGATGCCTTAAAGTATGGCGCGAAACGTTCTGAAATTCCATTTGTTCAAAAACAGAAATGCTTTTAAATGATTGACAGAACGTGAGCATGACTTTGGAAGACAGACTTGAAAGTAAGCGCTACAAATATTCAGTAAAGCGTTTTCGGCGCAGTTTATAATTGTTATTTGTAAAGGATCGCTTGTCGTACGGCAACCCTGTATTATGATTAACTGGTTTGTTTCACAAAGTAAATTACAAAACTTTGCAACTTTTTTCCATGGTATTTACACTACTCTACTTGAACAGAGTACATAACATCACCTATTTTGGACCTATGATATATACTTACTCTACGATTGGGCATAGGAACTTGAAAATTACAAGCTCTGACTTGTTTAAGTGGCATTTAGAAGCTGGTTTGATGAACAGGAACGATGTTTATGGGTAGACAATTTCTTTATTGCAGTGGTGTAGATGTTTCCGTGTAGATGAAGTAGAATAAGCTCTGACAAACCTTTCATCGTATAAACAAGTTAAGTACCTCTCAGTTTGTAAGAATGGTTTCACTTTTGTGCATTCGCTACGATACTCTGATTTAAGACTGAAAAACAAGCTACACGGGAGTGTCACCGTGGTTGGTAACACTGTACGGCATCTGGTGACTCCATGTCTGTCCAGCGGGGACCTCAACGGGTAAATAACCCGTGTCAGGCACAAGGCACCAATGCGAATATTTCGGGGTTTGTAAATATGTAGATTTTACATCCTCTTCCCAATATTAGCGTACACAGAAGAATGGCTAGACACATTTCATTATACAGCCACTTTAGAGAGTTGTATATAGCCTTCAATATATATAAAACTATCTATATATCTCTATAGATAAATGTCAATAACTAAATATAAAAATATATAGATGGTGCTGGGAGCTATAGAAAGACCTCAAACAGGGCACTTACATACCAGACACTGGGTTCTATAGACAGACTTCACTACTTGCAGATTCGGGGCGCTATAGACAGGCTTCACTACTTGCAGATTCGGGGCGCTATAGACAGACTGTACTACTTGCAGATTCGGGGCGCTATAGACAGACTTCACTACTTGCAGATTCGGGGCGCTACAGACAGACTTTACTACTTGCAGATTCGGGGCGCTATAGACTGACTTCACTACTTGCAGATTCGGGGCGCTATAGACAGACTTGACTACTTGCAGATTCGGGCGCTATAGACAGGCTACACTACTTGCAGATTCGGGGCGCTATAGACAGACTTCACTCACTTTGCAGATTCGGGGCGCTATAGACATAGACTTGACTACTTGCAGATTCAGGGCGCTATAGACAGACTTCACTACTTGCAGATTCAAGGCGCTATAGACAGACTTCACTACTTGCAGATTCAGGGCGCTATAGACAGACTTTACTACTCTGCAGATCTCGGGGCGCTATAGACAGACTTTACTACTTGCAGATTCAGGGCGCTATAGACAGACTTTACTACTTGCAGATTCAGGGCTTATAGACAGACTTTACTACTTGCAGATTCAGGGCGCTTATAGACAGACTTTACTACTTGCAGATTCGGGGCGCTATAGACAGACTTTACTACTTGCAGATTCAGGGCGCTATAGACAGACTTCACTACTTGCAGATTCAGGGCGCTATAGACAGACTTTACTACTTGCAGATTCGGGGCGCTATAGACAGACTTTACTACTTGCAGATTCAGGGCGCTATAGACAGACTTCACTACTTGCAGATTCGGGGCGCTATAGACAGACTTCACTACTTGCAGATTCAGGGCGCTATAGACAGACTTCACTACTTGCAGATTCAGGGCGCTATAGACAGACTTCACTACTTGCAGATTCGGGGCGCTATAGACAGGCTACACTACTTGCAGATTCAGGGCGCTATAGACAGACTTCCCTCACTACTTGCAGATTCAGGGCGCTATGGACAGACTTCACTACTTGCAGATTCAGGGCGCTATAGACAGACTTCACTACATGCAGATCTCAGGCGCTATAGACAGACTTCACTACATGCAGATTCAGGGCGCTATAGACAGACTTCACTACTTGTAGATTCGGGGCGCTATAGACAGACTTCACTACTTGCAGATTCGGGGCTATAGACAGACTTCACTTACTTGTAGATTCGGGGCGCTATAGACAGACTTCACTACACACAGATTCAGGGCGCTATAGACAGACTTCACTACATGCAGATTCAGGGCGCTATAGACAGACTTCACTACATGCAGATTCGGGGCGCTATAGACAGACTTCACTACTTGCAGATTCTGGGCGCTATAGGGCAGACTTCACTACTTGCAGATTCGGGCGCTATAGACAGACTTCACTACTTGCAGATTCGGGGCGCTATAGACAGACTTCACTACTTGCAGATTCGGGGCGCTATAGACAGACTTCACTACTTGCAGATTCGGGGCGCTATAGACAGACTTCACTACTTGCAGATTCGGGGCGCTATAGACAGACTTCACTACATGCAGATTCAGGGCGCTATAGACAGACTTCACTACTTGTAGATTCGGGGCGCTATAGAGACAGACTTCACTACATGCAGATTCAGGGCGCTATAGACAGACTTCACTACTTGCAGATTCGGGGCGCTATAGACAGACTTTACTACTTGCAGATTCGGGCGCTATAGACAGACTTCACTACTTGCAGATTCGGGGCGCTATAGACAGACTTCACTACTTGCAGATTCAGGGCGCTATAGACAGACTTCACTACTACTGCAGATTCAAGGCGCTATAGACAGACTTTCACTACATGCAGATTCAAGGGCGCTATAGACAGACTTTTACTACTTGCAGATTCGGGGCGCTATAGACAGACTTCACTACTTGCAGATTCAGGGCGCTATAGACAGACTTCACTACTTGCAGATTCGGGGCGCTATAGACAGACTTCACTACTTGCAGATTCAGGGCGCTATAGACAGACTTCACTACTTGCAGATTCAGGGGCTTATAGACAGACTTCCTTACTACTTGCAGATTCGAGGCGCTATAGACAGACTTCACTACATGCAGATTCAGGGCGCTATAGACAGACTTCTACTACTTGCAGATTCAGGGCGCTATAGACAGACTTCACTACTTGCAGATTCAGGGCGCTATAGACAGACTTCACTACTTGCAGATTCAGGGCGCTATAGACAGACTTCACTACTTGCAGATTCGGGGCGCTATAGACAGACTTCACTACATGCAGATTCCAGGGCGCTATAGACAGACTTCACTACTTGCAGATTCGGGCGCTATAGACAGACTTCCCTGCTACTTGCAGATTCAGGGCGCTATAGACAGACTTCACTACTTGCAGATTCGGGGCGCTATAGACAGACTTCACTACATGCAGATTCAGGGCGCTATAGACAGACTTCACTACTTGCAGATTCGGGGCGCTATAGACAGACTTCACTACTTGCAGATTCAGGGCGCTATAGACAGACTTCACTACTTGCAGATTCGGGGCGCTATAGACAGACTTCACTACTTGCAGATTCAGGGCGCTATAGACAGACTTCACTACTTGCAGATTCAGGGCGCTATAGACAGACTTCACTACTTGCAGATTCAGGGCGCTATAGACAGACTTCACTACTTGCAGATTCGGGGCGCTATAGACAGACTTCACTACATGCAGATTCAGGGCGCTATAGACAGACTTCACTACTTGTAGATTCGGGGCGCTATAGACAGACTTCACTACATGCAGATTCAGGGCGCTATAGACAGACTTCACTACTTGCAGATTCAGGGCGCTATAGACAGACTTCACTACATGCAGATTCAGGGCGCTATAGACAGACTTCACTACTTGCAGATTCAGGGCGCTATAGACAGACTTACTTGCAGATTCAGGGCGCTATAGACAGACTTCACTACTTGCAGATTCTGGGGCGCTATAGACAGACTTCACTACTTGCAGATTCGGGGCGCTATAGACAGACTTCACTACTTGCAGATTCAGGGCGCTATAGACAGACTTCACTACTTGCAGATTCAGGGCGCTATAGACAGACTTCACTACTTGCAGATTCAGGGCGCTATAGACAGACTTTACTACTTGCAGATTCAGGGCGCTATAGACAGACTTCACTACTTGCAGATTCAGGGCGCTATAGACAGACTTCACTACTTGCAGATTCAGGGCGCTATAGACAGACTTCACTACTTGCAGATTCAGGGCGCTATAGACAGACTTCACTACTTGCAGATTCAGGGCGCTATAGACAGACTTCACTACTTGCAGATTCAGGGCGCTATAGACAGACTTCACTACTTGCAGATTCGAGGCGCTATAGACAGACTTCACTACTTGCAGATTCAGGGCGCTATAGACAGACTTCGCTACTTGCAGATTCAGGGGCGCTATAGACAGACTTCACTACTTGCAGATTCGGGGCGCTATAGACAGGCTTCACTACTTGCAGATTCGGGGCGCTAGGCGCTGACAGACTTAAATAGATTAGTGTGTGAGTGGGTATGGTTTCATGCCGCTTTTAGCAATATTCCAGCAACATCACGGCAGCAATAGGCTTCACACATTGTACCCATGCAGGGAATGGAACTAGGGTTTACAGCGGATGCTTCAACCATAAGGCTACCCTGCTGCCCCTACAATATATTACAGACGAGGGGCACTTTACAAAGACTTAAATGCATACGACACAGGGTACTATAGACAGATTCATTACATACATTAAATTAACGACTAGACCTGTACACTGAAGATATCATCACGGAATACTAGAGTCAGTCACTACTGACAGACTTCGACACGTGAATGATAGACATGACGGGCTCGCGACATCATCAGCTACACCAGGAAGTTGGGAGTCAGTACCTCGGGGACCAGATCTTCCGTTCAGTGTGTTACAGGGTGTAAACAACATAAAGCCTGCAGATCGTGTAACATTTAATAGTTGATTTATTTATTTGTCACCGGAAATCACCAAACAGCTTATCATCACTGTATAACTTGGGGGAGAATAGTGTAATATGGTTTGGTGCATCTATGTGTAAAGATAATTACGTATTTTCTATCAGCATCACAAAGCACATATTTACCCTCCTGTGTCATCAGGTTAGCAATACTGTAGGGGGACATTAAACTTTAACTAGATCGGTAATGACTGTCATGTCGCGATAAAATTCTTAAGAGGTCCAATTTTATCATAAGAAAAGGGGTGAAAATGGTATATGCTGCTAGGTACATAACTGCTAAGCCTTCACAAAACTCAGATTTGCAGAAAAAAATTCAGAGAGCGCTACTCTGTTGTTTTTTAATTCGAGGGAGTAACATGACACGTTTTCCTTGAAAAACGTAAGTGAAAAAGTTATCTTCGCTGTAATTCATTTCAGTATTGACAAAAAATATCATTTAAACTCACGTTCACGGGCCTGAGAGAGTCTGGGATGGAGGATGGAGGGTGTCGGGGTGGGGGTGGAAGAGTGCGTGTGTACGCTGTTGGGAGGGGCAGGGTGGGAGCGATGGACAAAATATACGTGGATTGTTATTAAAACTCTAGTCCATATTCGTAAAGCCATTTCCCTTAATAATTACGACATTACAAACCTGTATGTACGTATACTTTAGTAATCGTGTCAATGTATAGCAGACAGTACAGCTGTTTTATAGCTGTTTGTACGGTGAGTTTTAACCGTGAGAGACACGAGTCTGTTCAATGGCTCAGAGTACATTACAGGTCTTCGAGTGCCGCACTTGAGCGACCCTACAACCATAAATGAACTCTCCCAAGTCTGTGTGCGGATGGGTTTATTGAGAAGGGTATAGGTAGCACAGCAACACGCGCCATTCTCTCCCCGCGGTATCACGTTTCGCCCTGCGTGTGGAAGAGGAACTCCATGTTGCCAACTTTCGCCAACTTTCGCCAACTTTACACTGTTTTGAAATGACGGTCCAGTTCTAACACAATGTCGGAGTCGGTCGACTTGGAGGTACCTCCGTCCCCGGGGCTTCCACCCTCGTCCCCCAGGGCCGGTAAAACAGGGGGTAGCATTGTGCGGAAGAGAAGCGTCCGGGTAAGTATATAGTATAGATGTAAACACGACTGCCTGCCTGGATGGGAGTGTGTGCATTCTTTAACTGTTTCTGTTAACTAAACACGACCTTTAAAACATTTCTTACTCCACCAGGCGATGTGGAAGTATACATCTGCTTGAACAACGTAATGTAACCTAGAGAATCAGAACATAGCTACGGCGAATGACGTAATTGAACATGCTACTCAAATTTCACATCCCAATGCTTCAATGCTATATCCAGGTGGTAGCTCATAACAGTGTTTATGTAAACAAGATACCAGGCCAGCTCTGTGGTATAATTCATTAAATACACATTTAGACAGTGTAAAACCTTCTACTGTATATGGACAGTTATATCGACTGGAGCCTCTTAATAATATTATACTTCAGCTGTAAACATTCACAAATTTTGTGACACAGTCCCCTTTTGCGTAGGTTATCGGTTAGTAAGTTGACACGAACGTGTACAATAATTTTACCTTTAGAGCCACGTACCTGTAATCTAGCGTCTCGTGTAAGGCAAGTATTTACAAAACTTTGTTCAGTTTTAACTTCCGTGACGCATACCCTCACATAATCAGACCCAGCAATCCCGGGAACAACAACAGAGTTGAAGGATTTGCTGATGTTATTGATATTAAACCCGCGACCTGTTCAGTAACAGTTTATATTTCGACGGCCTGGCTGTGCGTTCTATCGCCTTGGGTCAGTTCACAGGGTAATGGTGTAATTAAGACCATCGTTCACACGAGCTGGCCTTTCGTACTCGGGCCCAGGGCAATTAGTGCTTGTAAACATGAGGAATATGTTTTTCACTGTTACGTACTATTTGTGCATTTAGAAAACCTGTGATCCTAGTTAATGTTACGTTGACTTTTCAGCACATTTAGCGTTTGAAGCTGTAATATACCAGTTATCTTAATATCTGTAACTTAAGAACGTTCAATATTTCTTATGAACGGACGTTCCGACATTTTAAGTAACTGATGTGGGAATGGATAGTGTAGAACTTTGTGTTGCTATGCGACAAGACAACACAGCTGACCAAGTGAATTTGTGTATTTTTATAACCTTTGGGGGGTAGTTACATTTAACGACGAACGCGTTAAACAGTAAACTTACTTTAACTACCAGATGTTGTCAATATATTGAACAAACTTTATGGGTAACAACTTCTCGAATAAAAGAAGTTTATAAAAATAAAGTTTTTTCTATGTTGTACTTCCCAACTTCTAAAATGCCTCTCAAAGAAGTTGTCAGTATGCGGGTTTCAAGGTCAAGTGTATGCACTTATTGGACATGTCCCGTTTCACTACTCTGTAATTGTGAAAACATTCAACACAATGTTTGGTCAGTTGAACGTTGTGGTTGCTATTCCGAATAATGGTCGGTCAGTTGAACATGACGGTATATTTTTCTAGTGGTGACTGGTTAGTTGACCACAAAGGTCTATAATATTATATTCCAAGAGGCAATTAGTAAATTTTTGGTGGTAGTGTGTATATCCTGTGTGGGGACGATCTGACCACCCTATCCCGTTAGTCGGCTCTTACGACAAGCATGGGTTGCTGAAAATCTTCAGGGGTCTGAAAAAGACGGCTTAGCTTTGCATTGAAGGTACTACGAATTGACGCTATCCATAGTTTTCAGTGGGTGTGCGAGTGAGGCAACGTACAGTACAACCAGAAATTATTGAGAATTTAAAGATTGTAATTTTTTATAAATGTTTCACTCATTACTCACGTAGTAAATGTGAATATTAGCAGAACATAACTCCAGATTCAAAGACAGGTGTACAGTTAGTATTTTGTCAAGTCACCATGGGCAGCAATGCAGGCTTCAATGCGGCGGGGCATACTACTGATCAAAGAAGTTAGAAAGTCGTGGTCTATGCTGTCCCAATATCGGACCACCTCTTCTTTCATTTCAGCAATATTTGCCAGATTTTTCTTATTGACACTTTCCTTCATAAGTCCCCAAACATTTTCTATTGGATTTAGGACAGGGCTATTGCTTGGCCAATCTAATAATGTCATATTTTGGGTCCGAAACCAGGCCTGTGAATGCTTTGAACGATGTTTTGGGTCGTTGTCCTGCTGGAAAATCCAAACATTTCAATAGAACACGTGAGCAGATGGAAGTAAATGTCCCTCGAGAATACCTGTGTACCGCTCACTGTTCATATACCCTTCAAATACACAGAGGGGCGTTGCCCCTAACACAGATATGCCACCCCACACGTTAAATTTCGGACTGTACTTTGGGCGCTGATACAAAGGTTTTTCATGTTTGTTTGGCCCAGAATTTCAGTGTATTAGGAAACAGCCACACAGAACTTTCATCTGAGAAAATCACATTGTCCCAGTTAAAATTTCTATGCTGTAAGCACCAGTTCAACCTTCGCTCCTTTTGTTCAAGTTTCATGATCGGTGATGGAATCCCTCGACTTTTCTGCCAACCCATTGCATGCAGCTCAGTTCTAATTGTCTCCTAACAGACAGCCACAGTTCCTCTATCAATCATATCCTGCCTTAAGTTTTCTAAACTCCTTCGTTTGTTTTTAGAAACAAGAATACCAAGCCGCCTCCTGTCACCGACAGTCAATTTTCTGGGCCTACCTGCGCCTCCCTGGTGCTCAGTGCCATATCCATTTGCAATATTTTTCAAAACACGATAAACAGGGGAAAAAGGGATGCCTGTTCTACTTGAAATCACTTTAGCTGATCTGATGTTCTTGTTATAATACTCTAAAATCAACTTCCTCTTCTCTAAATCATCCATACTGAGGATCACTCAAAATGTCGTCTGCTAGCAAGTAAACAAAGAGGGATAACTCTTCACAAACTGATGAAAAAAGATTAACGGAGTTGTCTCTCTTGAATAAAACCACGCACTTGATAGCTGGTCAAGGTTGTTTATACTAGAAATCCAATTAAACATATTCCTAAAATTCTCAATAATTTCTGGTCATACTATACAGGTCATTCTGTGTGTCAGTGTATGACTGAGGTACCTGCCTTGTTTCAGAGGTGCATCTCTACGGGGAAGGAGGAGGCCATCCCACTGACGTACGGCCGTAACAGGGAGGAGTACGACAAGATTGTGGAGAGGGTGATGTCTGACAAGGCTGTCCAGGCCGCCGCCGAGAGTCTCCAGGAACGCTGGAGGATGATCATGATTATGTACGAGGACTGCATGAAGATGGTTGACGACTGGGATGAGCGGCAGGTGAAGAAGGCGGAAGCCATCGATATGTTTCAGCTGTTGATCGCTGTAATGATGGCCGTGTCGGGTCTCATACCCGTCATGTGTTGTGTCTATAAGTGGGGATGATAAGAAGCATCACGGGACTTACTGTTAAAGGTTGTCTTTCGACGTTCCCCAGGAACGAGGATATGGTTAACACTGGTTTTGATGTAGGCGCGGCAGACGACAATGGTTCAGTCCAATGACTGAAGGAAACCTTCCAGTCGTCTGCGCCTGTAAACGCTCAGGAAAATGTTAATTCTCGCTGACGCACGAGTGTGGTAGTGAAAAATATGTTCAGGTGTAGCTTGCACGGCTATCAGTGTACCGGTTTCCGAAACCAGACGCAGTTAGCTTGTAACAGTGTGCTAGATGCAGGACACTATATGGAAAACACTAGTTGCAGGTGACGCACGTTTGTCGCGGTTGGTCTGTAATGGCCGTCTCTCCATGGATGCCGTAGCACCACAAGAGAGTTGAACGCTGAATATACGTCCATCTGACTATATCACCAGAGTACAGTATGGGCATTGCACACTGAGGGGAATCAAACCTGTGTGTTCGGCTTGACAAGCAAACACTTCCATCACAAGCCTACTCCGCCACCCCACAGTGAACACTGCAAAACTTCAGTGGTGAGCGTACCTGGTGATGGTAGACGGGTAATAATATCACGCCATTAAGTAAATAAATATATAAACCAAAATCCACGTGGTTGCTCTCGTAGAATCAAGAAACTATATGTTTAGTGAATTCGTGTTCAAATTATTTGTGTGACATACTTGTCACGGAGAGTTAGCCGACCTGACGGGCCTGTCACACCAAGTGCCACCGTATCAGTAAATAATGGTAGACGTGTAACGGCCCTACCTACCTTAACTTGGAGCAGCGCTATTGTCCTTGCACAACTCCGTAGTTGACAGTGCATGGTGAGTATACTGGGCTTTAACAGCTTCCAGTCGCTTACAATCCAGTCACTGCAGGTGTGGTTGTTTGCCAGTAGAGCAGAGTGCCATCGAACTGGGATTCGAACCCACAACTAGTGGCACTGGCCAAAATATGGCCGACGTGTGGCTACTCCGAACTCATGTATAACCGAAACTATACATACATGCCATCTCTGGAGATGTCACAGCAGGTGACTGAACATCTACACTGGACAACTGCCGACAAGGTATGCATACGTCATAGTGACATGGTCACTTTCAGACAACACTAAAGAGGCTACCTGTATATTTGTCATCAGTTGACCATTGACAGATCACAACCTATTCATGTATACAAGAATCAGTGAATGAGGTCAGTCACACTGATAGGTGACTATATACATACACCACCTTAATGGATGACGTCACAGGCAGTCCAGCACGTGACTTAATACACACAAACCGTCAGTGGACAACCTCACAGGCAGTCCAGCACGTGACTTAATACATACAAACCATCAGCGGATGACCTCACAGGCAGTCCAGCACGTGACTTAATACATACAAACCGTCAGTGGACAACCTCACAGGCAGTCCAGCACGTGACTTAATACATACAAACCATCAGCGGATGACCTCACAGGCAGTCCAGCACGTGACTTAATACATACAAACCATCAGCGGATGACCTCACAGACCAATAGCTGATGGAAGCAGCTGGAGGAGTCAGTCAAGGGTTAGCATGAATATATTTATACGAGTACACAGGCCAACAGGTGACTACATAGATACACGAGGCAATCGTGGATGAGTCACAGTTGGTCAACAGGTGACTAAATATGTACACACCAATGGTGGATGAAGTCACAGTTGGACAACAGGTGACTAAATATGTACACACCAATGGTGGATGAGTTCACAGTTGGTCAACAGGTGACTAAATATGTACACACCAATGGTGGATGAAGTCACAGTTGGTGGATGAAGTCACAGTTGGACAACAGGTGACTAAATATGTACACACCAATGGTGGATGAAGTCACAGTTGGACAACAGGTGACTAAATATGTACACACCAATCGTGGATGAAGTCACAGTTGGACAACAGGTGACTAAATATGTACACACCAATCGGTGGATAAAGTCTACAGCAGGTGACTAAATATGTACACACCAATGGTGGATGAAGTCACAGTTGGACAACAGGTGACTAAATATGTACACACCAATGGTGGATGAAGTCACAGTTGGACAACAGGTGACTAAATATGTACACACCAATGGTGGATGAAGTCACAGTTGGACAACAGGTGACTAAATATGTACACACCAATGGTGGATGGATGAAGTCACAGTTGGACAACAGGTGACTAAATATGTACACACCACACCAATGGTGGATGAAGGTGACTAAATATGTCACAGTTGGACAACAGGTGACTAAATATGTACACACCAATGGTGGATGAAGTCACAGTTGGACAACAGGTGACTAAATATGTACACACCAATGGTGGATGAAGTCACAGTTGGACAACAGGTGACTAAATATGTACACACCAATGATGGATGAAGTCACAGTTTGACAACAGGTGACTAAATATACACATGCCAATATATACCGGTACGCCAATAGTCACACAAACTGTACAAACAATTACACAAACTGTACAAAAAAAATAAATATTTTATTCCCGATCACTCCTTGAGATATTGACTATACACAACCCTTTAATACATCAACATGTTACACCCTCGGCTTGAGCAAAGCTAAGACATTATATTCCACAGCCCAGCGAGAACATAAAACAATAAGGTCTTTTGTGTGTAGTTTCTGGACGATACCACCTTCCTGTATAATCACCCCTTTCATACACCGAAAATTAAACTTGTAATAAAAACACAAGGACATTACAGTGAAATGTGTTAGAGTCATCTCATATTTGGGGTGACATATAGCTCTAAATCAAATCTCTAGACTTGCCACATATTCTAGACTTGCATGGGTCAATGGTTAATTAACATTCTGGTGCAAGTGATTACAACATGCTGACTCCCAGTGTTCAAATGTTTTGATAACTCCATTAAATGAGTGAGTGAGTTTAGTTTCACACCACACTCAGCAATATTCCAGCTATATGGCGGCGGTCTGTAAATAATCAAATCTGGACCAGACAATCCTGTGACCAACAACATTACCACCCGATCCCATTAGTCACCTCTTATGACAAGCATGGGTTACTGAAGATCAGTTCTAACCCGGATCTTCACAGGTAGATAACTCCATCGCTGTGACCCAGATACACATACTGTATAGTCACCACAGGTCCGTCTCCCAACACGAGGGCAAGTTACATAAATCAACACCTGAAACCATCCCTTCAATGGCTACAGAACATCAAGAATATTCTATCTGGGCTCACACAAAGAGTTAGCTCCCTTGGAAGACTTGGTCTTGCTGTAACATAGGCAAACTGTTAACACTACCACCAAGCATATATTTCTCATCACACTTGATACCTTGTAAGTGGCAAAGTTTGGATATACTCATGGACATAATAAAGGGAACAGGTATAAAAGCAGCATGTGTTGACCTCTTGTATGTAGCAGGTGAACAGAGTTTCTCGAACAATTACCACTGGGAGCACATTACAGTGCATTGTGTAAACACTGTCTTACTTTGCAATATAAAACATTGTCATACAAAAAATATAAAAAAACCAATTCTCTAATACTTATGGATCCCAAAATTCCAAGGAGTGAGTGAGTATGGTTTAATGCCGCTTTCTGCAAAATTCCAGCAATATCAACAGAAATGGCCTTCACACATTGTACCCATGTCAGGAATCAAACTCGGGCCTTTAGCGAGACGAGCGGAGGCATTAACCATTAGGCTACCCCACTGCCCCTTGAACTAAGGAAGTTTCTACACTTGATTCACAGCTGGAGTTTTCTTCACACAGGTTGTTGAAGACTACAACAGTATAGTAACAATCTATGTCTACCCCAGTATTATCCCTGATATGCATCAGCTCATGTTTCCTCTAAACACACTACATTAAACATACCAACAAGATCAAACAAACATCAAACTAAGAAACCCACATTTTGAAAATAAAATTTGAAATTAACTTTAATTTATTAGTTTAGAGATAAAGCGTCTAGTTTTTATTGCTTTTGCACAAAATATCCAAAGACTTACTCACCCAACCAGAGGCCCAGATAAGCTGCATATCCGGGTAAAATACGCCATAGAACATTTCCAATTACGCATTGAAAAATAATTGTTGCGTACCAATTACGCATTTAAAATGTTAGATACGCAAAAAGTTTAAAACAAATGCGCACTGAATATATTTATAAAAATCGCTTGCGTAATGAAGAAGACATCGATTGCTATCAAGTTGTAGCTTACTGTTAGTATAGGACAAGTGTTGTACTGTCGGTATAGGATGAGTGATTTTTTATGAAATCATTTCCATTATATTTAAGTTGGTTTTGATTAGGTATGACATAAGGCAGAACATACCTGCTTAGTAAACTTACTCAATATACTTAGATGAGTAAAATCACAGAAATACGCACATATTTGAAAGCAGTGGGTAACGGAAAATGAAATACCCACTCAACATTCATAATACCCACTCCAAAAAAAAATACAGTGGGTACAGTACCCACATGAGCTAAATCTTATCTGGAGCTCTGACCCAACAAAATTGGAAGTCTCCATAGGGGCTATATACTATACGCCAAGATGTCCAGTCTTAAAGCGTGACATTCACGAGGCCAGCGTGTGGAGTATCAACAAGTGTGTGAGTTGTGAGTCGGATGTTGGCGACATTACCATGAACCACAACAATCAGGGGCATTCAATGAACAGTGCATCATAAAATCTGGAATATTAAAATGCTGAGTACATATGAATATACAAGCATATCAAAAACAACGTTTCGAAACAGCAATAAATACTTTACCACCATGAAAGCACATATTATTATTATGACAAAATCAAAGACGCAGTAATAAATGTTGACCTCACAGACAATTCAATACAAATGTCATGTACATGTTTGAAACGCCAGGACAGGACGGAAAATCAATAAATGCTGAATCATCATAGTTCTACTTTTAGTTTTAACAGAAAACATGAGTCTGACCCTGGGAACCTCTGGTCAACTGGTCACTTTTCTATGTTTGAGTGAGTGAGTGAGTGAATTTAGTTTTACACTGCTTTTAGCAATATTCCATCAGTATCAGGGCAGGGGACACCAGAAACGAGCTTCACACATTGTGCCCATGTCGGGAATCGAACACAGGTCTTCAGCATGACGAGCCAACGCCTTAACCGCTAGGCTACCCCACCGCCCTTTCTATGTTTGATATTGTTTCATTATATGAATAACTCATCTCAGTATCCACTTTTATTGCACTCCATATATTCAGGGAAACGAATAAAGGAACACACAAGAGCGCAGTGTCCCTATACTCTTTTCCAGGTTTCTTGTCATGCTTTATAGTTTTCGCTGGGGATGAAAATCTGGAAATAGATAAAGAAACGCTTTGTACTTTCAGGTTTTCCCTTATTTCGTTTCCATGAGTATATGAATAGCACATCTAAGAATAGTCTTGTTGTGTTATTCATGTGAACAGCACATCTAACTATCGACTTATTGTGTTATTCACGTGAATAGTTCATCTGTGTGTTTTTGTTTGTACTGTATCTGAATACCAAGATATTTTTATGGATTAAACTTCTTTTTAATTTCCCTCACGACGTTTTGAGACCATTCCAGGTCCCTTCATCAGGTGAACTGACAGTTAGGGCTGACGTCATCACTATGACGTATAACTGAGTTCAAGTCCTAACTGTCAGTTCACCTGATGAAGGGACCTGGAATGGTCTCAAACGTCGTGAGGGAAATTAAAAAGAAGTTTAATCCATAAAAATATCTTGGACATCAATGTACAACTTCTAAATGCCACTGAAAGACATGTATCTGATTAGGTTTTGATAATTATACATTCATGTATGTTTGCAGCTAATATGAAATACCTAAGCTCATGACTACATTTCCCTGGCCAATGAGAGACAGTTTCAGTTGTGCCGAAGTCGAGAGTATGCTAGGATCAGCTATATAACCAGTAAAGCGGAAACAAACCAAAAATATGTCGCCCCAACCCCGAAATGTCACACTTCATTACAAATAGGTTTTAAATATATAATGTGTTCTGGAAAACATGCTGGACAATGTACAGTTGTAATTAAGCTCCTGTGTAATTTGGAGCCATTTCTTTCAAGGGCCAATTTATATATCCTGTATATATTGACTGTGAAACAAGTGGGCATTTGTCGGGGATTTTATGAACGCTTTTCACAATTAACACACTGGCTCTGGTGCTAGTAATACTGAACATGTATACTAAATATGTTCTGTGTAACATTGAAATATATACAAAGCTGGAGTATGTAGAAGACAACCGGAGCAAGATTGGTGCCACATGCATGGGGAATTAAAGCCAGGTGTTGGAGATGTGAAGTGAATTAACCCCCTTTACTACAACTACAGTTGCCAGGCTACTGAGGAAACAATCACACATAAATCATGTAGCACAGTCCTCTGACATGGAGTCTTTCTGAATTTCATATGACAATGGAGCTTGTTCTGCTGTTAGACAATTAAAAAAGGTGTGTGTAATTATAACAACGATAACAAGCACACCACCATCACTAAATCGGGAGACTTTGTTGTCAAAAATGTACTTTACAGAACTAAATAAGAACCCCCCAGAAATTCCTTTTCACATCAGTCAACACAAATGCAATAAGTAGACAATAATTACCATTCAATTGACACATCATCATCATCATCAATTCCACATCATCATCAAACCTGAGAAAATATTGTACTGTAAAATACCACTTATTACACACAGCTCAGATTCCATACACATTCCACACAAATGCTGTCATCAGGCAAATTAGCAACAACTGTTTCGGAGGTCTTTGAACATGCTACTTTCCTATTTACTGCTATAATGTAACACTATGCGTTACAGCCTCTTCCTCCATGTTCCTCCTGTTACCAGAGAAATACAAGGCAACTTTAAAACAGTATAAAATTAGACATGAAAGTAAGATCATGAACATGATGAACTGACACATTTCTAATTCCAATTTGGAGTTTTTTCCGACAATTGTTGCAGACTTGGGGTGGAATATTATCCGGAGACTAGAGAAATTCCTGTGCCTAACCCGAACAGCTTGTGAACCCATGTTGTAGAACTGACAACTAATTATGCATGGTTCCCCACATTCACATGTCATGATCATATACAAGCAGAGTTCAGTCAAATGTAATGAACACATTAAAAACAAATATACAAAACAAAATGAGTATAACATATGAGAATGATTACACAATGGTAACCATACAAATTCTTCTATTTAATTGTAAATGAATAACTTTGATCATGTTTATAATTAAAGGTACAAGATGGGAGAAGCCTCCAGTTCCAAGTGATAGTGGAACAATGATGTCAAAATGCAACACATACTAGTATGCCCTGGACATACTGGAGTGTCAGATTGAGATATAACACAGTAAGAGTGATCATGATGCACAATGCACTTAGACAGCTCGATATTACCAGTATACACATATGCATTAATAAAATAATATGCTTTACAAATGACACATGCTGCAATAGTTTCTGTATGTTCTTCTGTTCTGACCTTATGTCCTCAGATGGAAGCCTCGGCCAATGTATAGAGATACACCAATCTGTACACAACTGTAAACCCTTCAGGAAGCATGTCATGGAACTAGATGTGATCAGTATTAACTGCAGTTAAACAGATCTCTTAACACAATCACTGTGTTGACAAAATATTTCTCAAAATACAAAAACATCTGACCATAGAACGATAGTTGTCTTGAAAATCTTATTCAAATTTGTGGCATCAAACATAAATTTCATAAAATGAACTTAAACCACAGATCGTAAATGGTCCGCAAGTTATAACTTGCACCAAATATGTAATCTTCAGCAATGACTAAAATGCTGGATTTGACATGGGGGCGATATACAATGAGACTGCAATCCCTCCACCATACCGAATATGACAGCAAGAATGAAGTATCTAACACTGGCTCCCACAGTATTGATAATAAATTGTGAACAACAAAATAAATGGCACGCTGTGACTTTCTAGCACTGGCGGAAGCATCAGGATTCATGGTATTATGAAGTTGAAAGATAAAACCTTTTTTTACGGAATGCAAGATATTCAATTGGTCTTGTGGTTGCAGAAGGCAAAAGGACACCAATGAAAAACCTCTAACAGTACAAGACAACTTATAACTTAAAAACAATATATGGCAAGAATTATAAATATGTGGAATATTAAATGTACATCTTTAACACATGATTAAGATTCCTGTCCAAAGAGGAGGTGGAGTTGTCCATCACAAACATCACATTCTGACCAGTGGGTTAACCAATACTGCAGACTAGTACTGAAGACTCACACACATTTCAACATTTTTACTGATCAGGGGACCCAGACGTACAACATTTTCCAACTCCACATGTCAGTTTATTGCGGGAGTAGAAACAAACATGACTTTTTGATGATAAACACAACAAATAGGGGGAAACATTCCAAATTTGAATGTTTTCTAAGTTCTTTGAACATACCTGGAAAAGTATTAATTTAGTTCTCCATTTCTAACTTTCTGAATCAGCAATTAGAGAGCAGGTTTAATCCAAGATTGGTCTACAACTAGCATGAGACAACACTACAGTCCGTTTGGCTCAAAAGCTGACCGATGAATTGCAATCTAACTCGAAAACTAATAAACAGAACATACTCAATGAAACGCTGATCATAATCAAAACATCATACCAACTCTGTGAGGTTTTTTGCAGAATTTTTGTCCTAAAAATATAAAAGTTGTTTAACAAACTATCATTAAAATATTGACACAGTTCACTGTTTGTTACGAGGGAGGAGTGCAGAGAAAGGGACAGCCAGCCAAAAATTCTGCAAAAACCTCACAGAGTTGGTATGATGTTTTGATTATGATCAGCGTTTCATTGAGTATTTTATGTTTATTAGTTTTCGAGTTAGATTGCAATTCATCGGTCCGCTTTTGAGCCAAACGGACTATAGATTGAAGGTCTACAATGACAGCTGAAATGTATCCACAACAGCTGTCTTCCACCCAGGTTCTGATCATGTTCAGTTTTAAGTTTCAAGAAGGTCAATTAGTGATTACATTCCATACTATGAGTCTGACTGCAGGAGACACCAGAAAGGGTCTTCACACATTACACCAATGCAGGGGAATGGAACCCAGGTCTTCAATATGTGACAAACGAACACTTTAACCACTAGGCTATCCCCACCACCCCATGAAAAGACTTAGTATATTCATTACTAATGAGGATTTCATTCTGATGATTGTTGGAGGCCCCCATCTCCAGGATGCCCTATAACATGGGAGTGAGCATTAACTATCACACTCTACAAAGTCTTGTTTTGATGGTTAAAAGTGCAGAACTATTCTATCAGAACATCTAACTGGTCACGTGTCGATGATAACATGTCCATTTTGTACAAAGGCTGAATTAATTGGTTTACTAGTGTGTCCTTGACATAGTTTCCAAATCCTCTTCAAACGAACATAAACCATTCCCGGCCACATGTACGCAAAACTCAATCTTGGATCTGCTTTTGTCCACGCCAACAACAAACCAAACATTTGAAGGTATGGCGGCAGAAGGAAAACAAGCCATACAGGAAGTGGAATATCAGTCACATGATGCCAGAATGAGCCAATCAGAGACTGTTTATCTCCATGGTGATACGCATTACTGTGCTCCAGTGCTAAGTTGTTGTAATGGTCGTTTATTTCAAAGGTGTAGTACAGCATTCCAAATGAAGACGCCAGATAGAACACCAGCAGCAGCCAAGCAATTCGCTGACGGAACTTCATCGTCAGTGTTTACGTCATATCAATTGATCAGAACGCCTGAAATGAGAAGTTTTAACATGTAAATATGTACATTAACATACGATCAACGCTGAAAATGTCAATGTACCATCAGTAGGACAGCCACTCAAACAAGATAGGTTGGTTTGTTGCTTAATGCAGCACTCAGCAATATTCCAGTTATATGGCAGCAGTCTGTAAATAATCAAGTCTGGACCAATCAATCAACAACAGTTTTGAGCATCGATTCTATGCAGTGGGGATACGATAACATGTTTCTAGAAAGTCAGCGAGCCTGACCATCGGACCCTGTTAGTTGCCTTTTCCAACAAGCATGGGTTACTGAAAAGCACTTCTAACCTGGATCAGCAGTAGGGCAGTTACTCAAACTAGACACACCAGTGACTGACTGAGAGTACTGAGCAAAGATGTACACCATCAGGGTTAAATGACTCATACAACCATGTACATGTAACCATGGTAATAATTTAAGCTGAACCACCTTATCATCTTCCGAGTTGTTTTGTGGCTCTTGTGGGAGATGTAAGTGTTTTCAAGAAGCACTGTGTTCGCTGTGAACGATACACCTAATACATTTCTCTGTTTCTCCAGAATCCCAGCATGTGACATGGACACAGCCTTGGTTTTATATCATAGATCAGATCATTTATATATATTTTATTTATTTCACAAAATGCAAACACCTTCGTATTTTCTTCATCATTGAGGGTGAACTATTCCCATTTTAATAACGCTTCTACTTAATTCACCGCCAATCCGCCTACTAATCCAGGATTTTGAAGTTACAACCGGTTTTGGTTACGAATCACCCAGCTGAACCATTGTGGCTCTTGCATGTGTTCCTGTCAACAACAGGATCTGTTTACAGAATCCCAGCATGCACAGTATTCATTCATAGATATATTATGCAAGCAATGGTACTAAAGGTTACAATAATCATAAATATTGTGGATGAAGATATTTTACAATGGCAGTATTCATTCTAGATATAGGCAAGAGTATAGGCTATTTTACCAATTTAAAGGAGTTCCACAAAACTGTCGGAAGAACTGACAAATTATGAAGACTGGTTATGAAACTTTATGAGTGAAATATTTCATCCTATCATTATTTGCTCGACAATCTGACTGCTTACTTGTGAGGTGATTCACCAAATTACCACCACCCTACCACTTCTGTGGGGTTTACCGAAGCCAAGGTTAAGGTTCGCACTTTCAATGGTTTCAATGTGTCGCTGTCGAAATAATAATGTCGGAAAGCGCACGAAAAATCTCCAAATCATCATCGTCGCAACACGATCATGAAGGGCATGCATTTCAGTAAGAGTGTGTGATTCGTGTCTCTCGACTTCCGAGACTCAACTGTATGAGCATTCAGAAGAATGAGAACAAAATCACAGAGTTTATCAGTTACATTGATGAGCGTTAAACGCAAATTCCGTGGATGTCATTGGGGTTTATAATGTGGTCACTGAAATCAGTAATTAATAGAGTCACATTGCTATATCGCTGCAAAAAACAACACCTTTGTTTCCGTGGTCGATGTGTCAGGTGCTTTACGCCATGTTGGATTTCAGAGTTATTTCCCTTTTATCCCTTCCGGTTCACACTCAATCGGCCCACGCACAGGCACGTCTTCGCTATCTCGGAAATAGTTCGGACAAGAATGTAAACACAGTTTAGGTCAAAATATACTACCCATCAAAAGTTTAGACTCACTTAAAGCACTCACTATATGTTATGCATATATGTGTGGTTACATCGAAGATGAATTTCTCCACTAACTTTGGGGAACCAACTGCAAATTTTATGCAGATGAATTGCACGAGGATCATGCATAAAATTGCTAAAAAGCATGTGCAAATATCGTGCATGTGAACAGCTGTGTTGTGGTGTAAAATTTTGTTAAAAATTCGCCAATTTTCACTCAGTTTCATCATTTTTTTAACCCATGACAAAAATCTTTTCAACGTTACGAATTTGTTTTACAATACATCAGTTCATGGGTAAACAGTTCCTTGAAACAGTATGGACAATTTTGCAAAATCTAATTTAGAAGAGTTGACCTAAATAAGTGGCTACATGTACACTAGTGAGTCTAAACCTTTGATGGGGAGTATATATTCAGGGACTATAGTATAGTTTCATTGTGGTTATCTCCAGTGAGACTATATTTGTGTACTTTCCCAGTCCGTTTTAGTATACTCTGCCAAAAAAACGCACAGGTGATAATGAAATTTAAAATTAACTTTATTTTGTTTCTATGCAAACAAAACCCGGTTACTTTAACCAAACATAATGTATACTTGTTCATATCCATTAAGTATCGCTCAAACACACCATTTCATGAAATATTGTTGTTTGATGATGGTTTTGAAAATATCATGAGAATTTTCACGTGTAAATGACACTTCGAACGATATGCACGTGAAAGTTGCTTCACCTATGCACCAGTGTGTAGGGTATATGAGGAAGGCAGTTTAACGTGTTCAATTCACTTTCAACGCCAGTTTACTGACGAATTCAACATGCCACGACTTAGCGAAGCTGACCGGAACATCGCCATCGGACGTCTTGAAGCTGGCGAATCTCAGTCATCAGTTGCAAGACACTTCAACGCATCACACAACAATTTCCCGTTTATGGAGGCGCTACAATCAACTGGGCTCGACCCGCGACCGACCTCGGAGTGGTAGACCACGGGTAACCAATGCTGCACAAGGACCGCTACATCCGGGTGTTCCATTTACGTAACCGGGCCGTCCCAGCAACACAAACAGCAGAGAACGTCCCAGGTCTTCGCCGCGTCTCCGCCCAGACCATCAGAAATCGCCTCAGACAGCACGGGATACGCCCTCGACGACCTCACGTAGGATGCACACTACGACCTCATCATCGCCTGGTACGTGTTCGATGGTGCAGGAACGTTCAGAGATGGAATTGGAGACA